CTCTGTCATGGTTTGGGCTGCACTTCTGCACTGATCTTGTCAAAACTGATAGAATTATGAACACAGAAAAGTGATCGACCAGATTTTGATCGACCATGTTATAAAATCTGGAAAGCATCAGATTGGCAACGGCTTCATTTTTTAGCATGGTAATGATCCCAAACTCACTGACAATGCAATAAGTGTAATCCTGGAACACTATCAGTCAGTCAAAAAGGAGCCAACATCCAAAGAAAAACTTGGAAAGAGCGTCAGAAACCCTGGAGAACTATTGCTGGCTGAAGCTCAGGCTCCTCAAATAAATAACAAAAAAGAAATGAGAGATGACAAATTTTGCCAATTTTTTTTACTGAAATAGAAATATTTGAGAACAATTTTTTCATTAATGCATCAAATTATGAAAAATATCTTTTAACTGTCTCAGAACTTTAGAAGTAAAGTTCTGTTTGTGTGTTTTTATCCAGCGCAGCTTGGGACTGCTACCTAGATTTTAACCTTCAATTAATGTAGAACAGATAACGAGTCTTGTTGGACTTGAAGATTATCCTGAAATAATAAACCACATTTTCAAAAAATATACACAGAAGTAAAAGTGCTGTATATCTTTTTCAGTGGATCCGAGTGGACTGTATGAGTTTTTGGAGATAAAACCCCCCAAAACAACCCTCTCGAGTTGTTTTCTTATTAGAAGCAGACTACGAGTAATAAAAGCAGTGTATGAATTTTTGTTTATTTTACTGCCTAGCTGGGAGGAAACATTAGCTGGACGCTCACAGGGCAGCAGTTAAATGAACACAAAGAAAAATCTGTTAGCGTGTGTGTGTATGAGTGTCCTTACACCTGACTTACACCTCGCCATCCCACCATGGTCCGCCAAATGTTCGCCCTCGCTGTCACCACCTGGCTGCTGCTGAGTGCTCTGATTGCATTGTGCGCGGCTGCGTGTGGGCACGTGCGTGTGTGTGTTTGTGTGTTCGATGAGGTGCTCCCTAACAGATGGAGTAACCTAATACACCTCTCATTTCTACCCCGCTGTCCATTGGCCCTCATGGTCTGCTGGTGATGTTATCAAGGCCTTACCAGCATCCTGCCTGCTTTGTTCCTGGAATCAGCCGGCCCCGCCCCGCTCTGCCTCTCTGCCGCCGTCCCGTAAAGCCCCGAGCAGATGCAAACGTACAACAATCCCGCAAGGGGGAAAAAAGGGCTGTCAGGTGGAGCGGGTCTCAGGTTACCTGAGTGCAGAGTGCTCTGAGTGAAACGTGCCTGGAAAATGCAGCGCACTGTTTACAGTCAGTGAAAAGATGCTGCTTTGTTGTAGCTCATAAAATCACGACTGAACGTCGACGCTGCTGGGAGGTGTCTGTTAGAGTCAGCCTGCGCACGTGCTTGGTGCACCCACAGACACATGATAAGACAGTTGGATCATCACCGGCCCCCTTTAGAAGCCCAATCACCTTACATCAAAAGTGTCACCGTGGCACCCCCGCCAGTCCTCTGTCTGCGTCCCGGACAGGTACGGCTTTGTTAACGGGACCAGGTGGCAGCGACTCCTCCATCCGTCTCCATGGCAGCTAGAGGTGAAACTCCATCAGCCAAATGGATTAGTCTCATTGGCTGGGTAATTTATTGATGTTTTCCTCTCAGGGGATAATGGGTGTATGGGCCGCTGATTGATGAGGCAGCACGGTGCATGTCTTTGCCTTCGCAGCGTGTCAACCACAGGCAACGGTCAGCCAAGCCTGGTACGTTATGAGCCGCAGATTTATGTACTTATACGTAACGTGGAGACTGATGGGCTCCTGAACATCAAATATGCTTATTTGACAGGCCCTTCATAGATTACGGGAGCGCCTGTTTTATGTCAGAGCTGCAGTCACTTAAAGGCTTTAGATGTCAGAAAGAATTTACCTCATTGTGCCGCAGATTTATCAGACTTATTTTACTAATAACATGAAATGTGTGATACTTGATCGCTGCTTAATTTGGGATTAATGGCTTGAAATGGACAGAAACCAGATATTATGAGAAATTCGCATAGTAGAGGTTTACTGGACCGCATTTAGTCAATCTGACATGAGCATTTCAAGGCCCGAGAAAGATGAGATGCCCAGATGCCTTGGAGTAAACAGGTGGTCTGTCAGTAAAAGGCCTTCAGTCTCAGGAGAAACAGCTTTGCAGCAACCAGCAGCCTTCTGCCTCCATCCCTGACGCTCACAAAATGAATGTTACTGCTAATTTTAAGCGTGACCTAATATGCTGCTCTGGGCTCCTGCTCTTGTAATGCGTGCTCTTGACCTCGTACACTTGTATCCGGCGTGTCACAGGTCCCCGACATACGGCCCCATTCCCCTCCATTAAAGGATACCTGATCCCGTCCAGGCTTTCACCGCTGAAAGAACGTGAGGAGCATTTGCAGGAAATGGGCTCGCAATGGTTCATGCTATGACCCCGGCTACTCAGAGCCATTGAATTGCATTTATGAAGAGCCCTCTAGTATTTCTCTTTACCATCGCAAAGTGGCTCTCCTCTTTACGGCGTGAGAGATGCTACAGGTAGCGGCTGAATTTCAGGGTTTGATGTGGGTGGATTTTTTTTAGAAACCGCTTTGTGAGCTGGATACATTTTCTCACTGCCTCCACTTTTCAATCGATAACCAAATATCTGCTTGTTGAAAACTTTCTGTGCTCATCTGCGAGTTCTGTGTGTAACCGTGTGTGTGTGTGTGTGTGTGTGTGGGTTTGTTTTCCCTCCTTTCAGTCTGTCTCCTTGTCTCAGCTGGCAATCTGCACATCTGCCTCTTCACTGATCACAGAGGGAAGTGCTTCACAGACACAGCAGGACAGCCGTAGAGTGAAAAACCAAACAGATGTGCGCTGCTCCTGAACATCCTCCAATGCTTTTCTTAACCTTTAGGCAGCCAGCGACTGTTCTGCTGAGCGAGCAGGCTGCTTACCTACACATTAGAACCTAAAGCTGCAGTTTACTCCAGCCTATGATAAAGTTTGCTTAAACAGGTTCAGTATTTTATTAACTAAAGCTGGCTAATTACAGGGTCGTTACTTCACAGGATTCTCTTTAGCCAGTTAAGGCAGCATATTTCAACACTTTCAGCATTTTAAAGTTGAAAACCAACTTTTAAACTGAGGCTTACAACCTTGAAACATGGCAGTGAAGCTATGCAACATCAAAAAATGTTCTAATATTTTCTGTTATTTCCAGAGCTGAGCTTAATTTTCCCCGTACAAAGGCAAATACCTTGTGCCGCAATGAACACGATAAACCGGGACCAGAAAGATTAAAATGATTCAGCAGCAATTCAACAACACAAAAAGGTGGATTTAGTGTCAAATGATTAATAATAATATGCTCTGATCTGCCTGCTAGTGTGCAGTTCGGTTGCCATAAAAGGGCAAATAAGTGCGCTGCAGACATTCATTCGTGCTAGCAAGTAAACCACAATCTGGTTGTGCTATATTTGTTTATCCTTTGATCTGAGACTTTGACAGAGAATCAATTTCTTCTTGTTTTTTTCTTCAAAATAAGTTTCTGTAAATTAATAAATTGAAACCGCTGAGCCTCAAAATGAGTTGAAACATTTGCAGCTCATATCAGTGTGTTTTCACCTCACTTCACACCATAAATAGCAAAGCTGGATCACTTCGGGCCTGCTTGCATTTATGCATTAGCTGCTGTGTTTCGAGTCCTACTAAACATGGGAAGAAGAAATTGCACTCGTTTCTAAGGTTTTACATATCGGATGATAATAAAAATCTTAAAACGAGGTAAATATAACCTCAGATGAACAAAAACACTGTGAATGTTTAATTTGAGGAACGAATGTGTTTATTCCTCTGTGAGAGTTTACTTAGTTTACAGAATTCATTTCAATCATAGTGAAACATCTCATATATATGTATTTATATCCTCATGTGGATTTGTTTACGCATACACAGAAAGTCACATTATGTCCTAAAAACAGAGGAGTTAAATTGTTTCTCAACGCCAAAGCTCCGCATAGGCTTCACTGACCTCAGAGAGGCATGAAGAAAAACAAATTAAACTATCCAAGCAGGGAAAAACGAATAACAAAGATGAAATGGCTATTTGTTGTAGCACATAAACCAATAACTTCCTCTAATGTTCCCTAAACCACTGTTTTTCCTCTGCTCCTCACAAAGCATTTGCGGCAGTCACTCCCAACAAAGTGATATAGTGGACTAGCCGTGGTATAAATGGGATTTCGGGATCTCACGCTATTCTCCCGTCCAAAGCTTCATTTCACTGAGTCCCGGCTCCCCTGCTAAGTTCAGTAATGGAGCTTTAAATCCCCTCTGTTGTCGGGTCCTCACTCATTTTGCAACTGGGTCGATGATGGAGCTCCCGCTTCTTGTGCCACCTTGTTGATAAGACTTCACTTTGTGCCTTGAAACGCCACTGATTATTTTCTCTTCTCACAGTGGCCCCTGCTCCACTCCCTCCTGCAGGTTTTGAATGCTTTTCTCCTCACAGACATCCTTACGGCCATGCCTCTCACACTTGACTAATATATTGACGTTACTGGTGTCTTTTTACGATTCTGTGAGCTTTTTACAGACCGTTGCTTTGTACTGTGGAAAGGTCAAAGCCAGAATCTCACTGTTTATCTATTTGGAGAAGCTCGTTTGAAGCCATCACCCGTTACTGTAATAACACGCATGTGTTCGTGCTTTTCCTCAGAGTGTGTGTGAGCACATTAGAGGAAAACAACAAATGGAGAAAAAGTGGGAAAAAGGGAACGCGAGGCTGCGCGTGGGAAGTTTTCCCTGGCTTTGATCGTTAAGGATAGGATCTTTGTTTGGGGGAAAGCTTCTGTTTGAGTGTTTCATGTTTTTGAGTTAAGCTGATGCCTGTTTGCTGAGAACTTTGAGGTAATTGTAGTGATTATTAAGGCGTCACTGAATGAAATTTTTGAGCTTTCAGAAGATGGCCTGACTGTCACCCTGTCTCACTCTTTCTTGCAGAGGCCTTTGACCTGGTGCTGCGCCACGGACGTAACTCCACCCTGACGATGCTGAAGTCAGAGTTCCCGACTCTTGCGAGCGGTGCCCAGAGCTCTGTGGGGCAGCTGTTCCTGGACATGTCGCTTTACATCCTTGGCTCGGACTCCACAGTTGACCACATGGTGGCGGTGCTCTACGGCCGCCTCTTTCCGCTCACGTACCGCCGCCTGCTGGGAGGCAGTGGCACCTCAGTGTCCGAGGAGTGTGTAAGAGGAGCTTGGAAGGACTCGGGAGCATTTGGTCCTTATCCTAAACTGATGATGACTCGACTCTCTCGCTCCCTCCTGGCCACACGAGTCTTCCTGCAGGCGCTGAACCTGGGCATCGAGGTCGTCAACACCACAGACCATCTGCGGCCCGGCCGAGAGTGCAGCCGGTCCCTGCTGAGGCTGTGGTACTGCCCGCACTGCCAGGGCATGCTTGGGCCGCCGGCCTGCAGAGGCTTCTGTCAAGCAGTGATGCACAACTGCCTGGGGGGAGCTGCAGAAGTGCAGCCTCATTGGAGGAGCTATATAGATGGACTGGGGAAGTTGGCTGGTGCCATGAGGGGAGAGCAGGATATGGAGGCTGTTGTTCTTAGACTGCCCACAATGATTAAACTGGCTCTCAAACACGCCGTGAATACCCGCAGCCACCTGAACACCCTGGTGAGTCCCGTACACTAACACACGTACACACTGTAAGATGTGCTTTTAAACTGAAGAGGAATAAATCCAGAGCGATGTCACAACTTGGACCTGCTTTATGGTCATCAAATGTGATTTGAGCTTGGTATTTATCATCCCTCTGCAAATGCAATGTTACTTTCTCCGTCTGCATTTGTTTGTATTCCCAATAAAACTTTCTTCGAGTCATCACTCAAATATGAAATTTGCTGCAGGCCTGGTAAAAACCACGCACAGGGCCTTTTATTTATTTTTTCACTTGCTGGTTTAGCTTTCCAGCCCCGCATGCTGCTGCCTATTTAAATGTTAAAGGTCTGCAGTATGGGGGCTCTGTTGTTGAAGTTACAACCTGCTAGAAGTCTGGTCTTTCATCTGAAACCCTACCAGAAAGGTCCCAGCAGCTTACAATACTTGCTGCTAGGGCTGCTCAATTAATCGAATTGTAATCACGATTACGATCTGGGCTTTCAACGATCATTAAAAATGACTGAGCCGATTATTAGCCCGTCCCTCGTGCTTTACTCTCACACTGCTCCGTGTGGCAAATCGAGCGCACACAACAATTAAGAGCAGCGGTCCCAAACCTTTTTTGCGCCACGGACCGGTTTATGCCCGACAATATTTTCATGGACCGGCCTTTAAGGTGTCGCGGATAAATACAACAAAATAAAACCAGTACCGGTACCGAAAAAAATGAGATTTATTCATAACACATGTGAAAATACCAGGGAAAACTGAGTTAACGATAAAAACGATAAAAACGATAACAAAATGACGCTGAAAACCGATAAAAACCCTGAAAACTATACATTTCACACCTGAGCCTCAACTCTCGCGGCCCGGTACCAAACGAGGTAAAAAAAACTTCAGTGGTGTGGAAACATTATGGGTTCGCGGAGTCTGACGTGGATCAAGTAGACATAGTGTGTAAACTTTGCTACAGTGTCGTAGCTGCACCACAGAGCAACACTGCAAAGTTCACTAAACATAGATGTTTACATTTTTCATTTATTTTTTATATTGCAAACATTTGCACTGTTATCAGTATTTGCACACTATTTTATATTATTTTTTGACAATCTTTAAAGTCATTATTCAATACATCGTTATTGTGAAATAAATATCGTCAAATAATCGAGATCTCAATTTCAGTGAAAATAATCGTGATTATCATTTTTGCCATACTCGAGCAGCCCTACTTGCTGCTTTGAACACTACGAGATGAGATGTTGCTAATCAAGGCAGCAATCATCTCATTTTGATCTCAGCAGGTTGGAAGAGAACACAGCTACAAATATCACCTCAGTTGTGGCCATGAGACGAAAACACTTGATAACCTTGTTTATCTGGATTTTCAGTTTCGAGATGATTTGAATAAATTTCTCTGAATGTTGTTTATTTGCTTGTTTTCTGGCCTATAGCGCATAATCACTGCAGTCCTCTCACTGAGCCGACCCACTTTCCTTCTGCGCACATTAAAAAACTGCAAATGATTCATTTATATTATTCTATAGTGTTTTAATTTTACCTGAACTCTTGGTATACCTATGGCAGTAATGTGAGAGTCTACATATTTATTTCACCTTTGATTTCACTAAATCTCTAATCGTGCGAGCAGAGATTTGGTGACACCTCCCACTGTAGTATCACACTGATAGTATGTATGCTTGTAACCACATTAGACCCGCTGAGTCACATCCTTTTTCAGCGTTCGGTGCTGAAGAAGACGGGCTGAGACGTTTCTTCTGCCTAAGACAGCAGGCTGCAACACATTACTTCTCCACATCCAAAGCAAAAATGCACTTTGGGTGGAACTGCATTAAAAGGAGAAGCAACAAGCAGGCAAGAGAGGGAGGAAGACTAGCACGTATCAGACAGATGCTCCCAGCACGTCTCTCTGAAACTTGTCTCTCACTTCTCAGCAGCGGTGACCCGTTATGTGTAGCGTTAACTGCAATAAAACCATCAAGTTGGTTCTTAGCCCACATGCGAAGTCAGACAGAACTGCTTATGAAATATGAAAGGCCCTTTCTGCTGGGGTTACAGAGCTGGATGTGCTTTTTCTCCTGATATCTGCTGAACTTTTCACTCTCACACCCTGAATCCCCACAGTGACCAGGTTTTCACTCTGAACCCATCATTTATTAACGCACAGGTTGACCTCACTTACTCTGCAGTGTGAGGGTGTGGCTGCATCTATGAATCACTGACTTGTGGGGGAAAGCTCACTTTCTTCTGTGTGTGTGTTTGAGAAGGATTTTTTTTTTAAATTCTTGTCTGTGGTACTTAAGACTCCAATTCAAATCATCATGACGTTACATTGTGTTTATGAGTCTGTGTCCTGTATATGAGGCAGAACGGAGCTGCTGTGACAGTGTATTCACTGACTCAATGAAAAAGTGTGTGTGTGTGAGAGACAGAGGATGTGAACGTCATCTCGCTCCTTTCTTAGTGTCACAGAAGGGACAGAGCTATTGTCTCTCTCAGGGCTAATTGTGTCACACTAAAGAGCCTCACCCAGAGTTAAACACCTGAATGAAGGACCACTAACTACAGTGGTGTCAGGGTTTTTTCACCTGTATAGACGACCTGCTGAGCTTAAAATTAACTGACTTTAAGCATAGCATGGTTGTTGGTGCCATAAACAGCTGATCCACTGGGTTTTTTCTTGCACTACCATCTCTAGGGCTTACAGCGAAAGATCTGAAACAGAGAAAACATTCGCTGAGCAGCAGATCTCTGGGTGAAAGTTTTTCATGCAGAAGTCAGAGGAGAATGGCCAGATTGCTTCAAGCTGAGAGGAACAGTAGCTGAGTTACCACCTTGTTTGTAGGCTCTTCTACATACTACCAAGGTGTGCAGAAGAGCATCTCTGAACACACAAAACACTGAACCTTGAATGAGAAGAAGACCAAACTGGGTGTCAACTAAGAACAGGAAACTGAGGCTACCATTCACACAGACTCATCAAAATTGGGCAATAAAAGTCTGATGAGTCTCGATTTCTGTTGCTACATCTGGGTGGTAGGGTCAAACTTTGGCATGAAACATAAAAGCATGGATCTATCCTGCCTTGTATCAGCGGTTCAGCCTTCGCCTGGTGGTTTAATAGCGCAGGCGATATTTTCTTGGCATACTTTGGCTGCCTTAGTATCAGTTAAGCACCATTAAAATACCACATTCTTCCTGATTATTATTGCTGACCTCGTCCATCCTTTTATGACGTCAGTGTACCCATCTTCTGATGGGCCTATGCACCATATCACAAAACTCAAACAATCCCAAACTGGTTTCTTGAACATGAAAATGAGCTCTATGGTGAAAAAGCTCCCTCCCAACAACCAACAAGCAGCTTTATAGTTTATCCTGTTTGGTAACATGTAGAACATCAGCTATAAGAAGAATGATAAGAGAAAAAGTGAGAAGCAGTAAAAAAGTTTTTTAAAGGAGAAGAATATACAGAATTGCAGGCAGGTGACAAACATGGTGACACCCAGAGACAGCTGTGGCTGCAGGGACTGGTTTCATGTTGTCTAACCAGCTGTGCGGTTCTTTTTAAAATCTTGATGGAATTTCTTCAAGGTAGTTAAAGATGACCGTTTTGTGGTCATTACACTAACTTTTTTATTGTCACACCACAAAATAAAAACAAATGCATGCACTATTTGTTTAATTACAAATTTTGCCACAAGATCACATGATGACGAGGTGACAGCAATTTAAAAGGTTGAAAGTAAATCGTGGATATGAAGCGTGGATGTAAACGGCAACATGATTGTTTGGATGGATTTTCAGATATGATGTACCTTTGAAGCCCAGTTTTCACTATATGGAAAAATTTGAATTTTCAGAAATGTTTATTCGTCATGGAAACTAAAACTGTTGGCAGAGCTGTCAAAAATGTAACCTGAATTAAATGGTGACTTGTTGGGGATAGATTGATTGTCCACCACAGCCTATCAAAATCATTTGCAGGGATACCAAACAGGAAGTGAGTTCATATCACAGTAATGCTTTGATCTGTGGGTCATGGATTTGGGCGCTTCATTTACAGAGGAAATATTTACATTATGTGGCGATTATTTGGCAGTGCAGTAATCATTTTGCCTAAAATAGCGCAGATGAATCCTCAGACCAATTCTCACCAAAGTTATCAGATTGATTTTAGATGTTTATACAGCATGTGTCTGTTACAGCCAGTTGAAATCAACACCAGATGGCCTAACAGGAAGTTTTTCATCTGCTGGCACCAAACTTGGAGCATGGACTCTGCACTCTTACTGGGGTTCTCCCAAACATTTCATCATCTTATAATGGTGGGGGGTTATGGCAGCTTACAGCCATGTTTTTAACATGATCAAATAAAACTCGCTGCAGCTGCGTTATCAAATAACTTTGATTTCTAATCTTTAAAAAAAAATCACAGCCGTGGTGATTTTTTCACTAAGAGGAACCCTTAAGTAATATTCTCGTGATACAATATTTTGTACAACAGTCTAATGAATCTACCGTGCCTTGTTTTGGGGTTTCATGTGATTCTACATGTGGTGCAGTTGTCGTAGCGATCTCGCACTTAACCTTCCCGCCAGTCAGAGTGCAGACCCCTGTTACTAAGGGCGACAGACGGATCGACCCTATCTGAGTAAGAGAGTCCTCAAGGTGCGAGAGAGACATCTCTTCTCCGCTCTGCGAGCTTGAAACATGTAACTCTGCTGGCGAGATGACCACTCATCGTCCGCCAGCCCACTCCTTGGCATGTTAACATTCATTTCCTCCAACTCCAGCGTGAATCAGCCAATGTTCAGAGAGACGGAGAGGGCAGCCAAGAGCCCTGCAGCTCCAATCTATTCCCCTGTCAACTTCCCACCCTTCTCCTGGAGTTTGATGTCATCCACCTCCGTCTCTACATCTCATCCTCAACATTCCCCCCCCCATTTATTTCTTTTCCTCTCTTTTCTTTTTTACGCACTGCTGTGAAAGAC